CCATACCGACCCACACCCTCACCCACACTCACACCGACCCACACCCATACCCTTCTCACTTTTTCCATTCACAACAAGATTACATATTTATCGGCCTAACCTTCGTCTAACTCAACTTCATTTCTTCGTTGATTGATTTATACATTCGTACTAAAGTCGTGGCTAAATATTAAAAGGCAGCTTTCTAATTTCATGCTCTGCAAATGAGAACTTCGTTGTTGAATGCGAGACAGACGTTTTACATGGAGATGAAAACCTTTGTATAAAGAGACATGATATTATGGAGATTCGTAGTGGTAAGGAATCCAAGAAAAGGAGTTTTAGATTTAGGAATAAGTTGTTACTGACAGAAATGAGCATTTGGACGTATACATGGGCGATGTACAATGATTTTAAAGGATTAGATCTACACATACAATGTTAAGCATAGATAAAGGGTCAAGCATCTATGTAGAGGTATATATGTAATTAGAAATAAGGAGTTAAGAATATTTACCAGAATTTACGGACAGGTATAAGACAATGACACAGGCTATTATGCAATGATATTTGTAAGGTTGAATAATTAGAAATAGATGGATGAGACAGTTGATACGCATCAAATAGCGAAACAGAATTATGGTTTGATTTGAATATGTGTGTACATAGAAATGTGTAAAATTGATAGTAGCATATTGAATGTAGTAGGAAAATCATCGAGAGAGACCCATTCTTAATATAAGAAACAAAAGGGTCTGCCAGAAATATTTTTCTTATATAACCGTAAAGGGTCTCAATTTCGTTTTAAAGATCAAAACGTTTGAAGACTCTGTATGTAGTGTTTTTGTAGTGTCATTGTGGCTCCTGATGCAACATTTAAGTTATCTCTTCCAACAGTCTCATATGTCTACAGCCCACTTAGTTAACATTCTCTATCCACACTCACATCTGTCATCTCATTATGTTGTACAACATCAATATTATTTAGAGTACATCTGAGACTCACGTCTACACCCACGATAGAAAATGATCTCGAAATATCTATGTCTTTTGCAATGTTTGATAAACATTGTTCTTTCAATAGTGGCAAATACAAGGAAAATGTGAATGCCGTTTTTGCTGTCTATCAGGTGTATTGTACCAATAGATATAGTGTCAGATGCTCATTAGAACATCAACACTATATGCTGTCCCACCGTTTGCATTGTATAACCAAAAGGATATACGGTATGTATGACCAATAGTTGTCGAAAATGTTTGACTGAGATAATCGGGAGCACCTATAGCCCCATCTAAATAGAAATCCGTACCAGAGTAAGCCACATACGTATAACCATACATAATAGTGGTTCCTGTTTCCACCTGGCCAGAATATTGTGACCCGCTTGGATTGCAATATACCCATGGTACCGTACTGCCTGTCTCAAAGTCACCATTGGTAAGTAGTTGAATGCTAGGTGATGCAGTGTCGCATACAGTTACGTTATCAAGGGCAAAAAAATATTGATCTTCACGGAGAGCAAACGTAATTCGTGTTGTAGTTGCAATTGCTAAATAAGTATATACATACTGAACATAAGAACTCTGAACGGTACAATTATTGACGCAGTGATAGAGCGAGGTGATACTTTTCCACCCTGATGTACACGTGTTGGAGGTAACCGCTGAAATCAAGAGAACAAACGTAGAACTTTTTGCTGGAATGTCTTCTTGAGACTACTTACTAATAGTAGCTGCAGTCGTCGTGGTGGTTCCTGGTAAATATAATAACAAACTGTATGAAAAGAGATGAATCTCAATTTTCGTATTACTGCTACTCAATCATATGCACGAAAAGAATATGACTGTAAATGCCTGCATTCATATTGAACTCAAACTCAGCCTGCGGTTGCCACCACTCTCTAAAAAAAAGACGTCACGCTGAACCTTTTAAGGTTTTGGCGAAGATTCTGAACTTTTTAAGGTTCTAGATTTGGGTACCATTTTCTGAACCTTTTTTTTTCAGTTCTAGCCAGCAAGTATAGAACTCATAAAGGTTCTAGACTTTCCGGTTAAACCTTTTTGAGTTCTAGCGAACATGTCTAGAACTGAAAAAGGATTCAGAAAATGGTACCGAAAAACGGTTCATTATGACACCTTTTTTTAGAGAGCAGGCTATGAAATAGACTAAGCCAAATTACCTAGCCTGACTAGGAAGCTTTGGAAGTTCAAGGCTGATGTATGCTCTTAAAATTCGAAATACATATACTGAGCGCTAACATTATGCTCCAGAGCTTACAATCATTGATGGAAAAATGTTTTTAGGTCCAAAACAATTGTATGGTGAATTTTGAGATTGCTTTTATGTCAAAACATAATCGCTGAATGCAAATATTCTTGTCCTATTTTGTGAAACACGGTCTGAAAGGAGTGTTGAAGTGTTTATGGGTAGAAATTTGCACTCACCCCCCCCCCCCCCCCCCCCCACAGACCGTGACAGACAGGCTTTGAATCCATCACAGACTGTGATGGACAGGGCTCTGGACCCATCACAGACCGTGACAGAGAAACTGTAGTTCGAAAGCATTATATAAACGGTTAGCTACAAATGTATCGCAAAGAAATGGAACAAAACGATTCCCATTTAACTAGTGACAATAGATCCATCGTGTTTCACATTTTTAATCCTGCAAGGGATTGCGCTAACAGCTTTTTAATCGGTGTCACTGACGCCTTATAATTTCGTACTATACTTTCTTTTACCTTCTCATTCAATACCTGGCTATATGTTTTTTTAGCTACTGTAATTGCATTATTTCGATTAGGAAAGATAAAGTCGATACGAACAAAGACACTAAACTAATCAGGATGTGTCTCGAATGAAAAAAATTCATGGTTCCTATTTATTTGTGTTGCTATCTATCACAAGAAATTTTTATTATCCTGGATTCATGTTAATTAATTCAGTGAATGACTGCACCTACGTAGGATAGTGCATCGATGCATAACAGTAAAATGGAACTTATACATTCAATTCCCTGGAGAAACAACTGATTTCCTTGATTTCTAATGATTTTCAGTAATTATTGAGGAGTTCTATGATTGGAAATCAGTTTTTGTATTTACATTGTGAATGAGTAGTTATCTTCGAAAGTGTTTAGAAATGATGAGTAATGATAAGAAATCAACAGAGCTCACGAGTAACACTAGAAATATCGAAATTTATGGAAAATCAAGGAAGTTAATAAAAATCATTAGAAATCAGTAAATATTAGGATTCTACTTTTAATTTTCATACTGAAGATTTGCTATGGTATAAAATAATGTCCATGTATTTCTAATAATTTCCAAATGTTTCCAGTGGGTGCTGATGACTTTCAATAATTTTTAATAATTTTTAGTCATTAATCACATTCTTAATGTGTTATAGTGATTTCTAATAATTTCTAGAACAGAAATTTGTCTGTTGCCCCCGAAACAATCCGAAACCTCAATCGACCTGCTATTGTTTGTTCACGTTTCAAGTTAGATCAGTTCAAGTCAGGTCAAAGAAGTGGGTTGCCGCCAACATCGATTCAAATCTGCTTCTGCTATTTTTCTATAAACCATGCTCCGAAAACTTAACGACAAATTACTAGTATGTCCAAACGATTCCGTAGTTCCAATATCTAGGCTGCAGTCAATGGTAGAGCTATACTAATCATGTCACAAAATAGACATCAGACTAACTTGTTGTGGTCGTGCTGGTAGTAGTTGTAGTCGTGCTAGTAGTTGTACTCGCGCTGGTAGTTGTTGTAGTCGTGCTACTAGTTGTTGTACTCGTGCTGGTAGTTGTTGTAGTCGTGCTAGTAGTTGTTGTACTCTTGCTGGTAGTTGTTATAGTCGTGCTACTAGTTGTTGTACTCGTGCTGGTAGTTGTTGTACTCGTGCTGATAGTTGTTGTAGTCGTGCTAGTAGTTGTTGTACTCATGCTGGTAGTTGCTTGAGAACTAGTAGTCACACTTGGTGATGTAGTCGACGAAATTGAGCTCACGCTAGTAGTTGAAGTAGTGTTGACAGATGACGCATTACAAGTATTGACAACTATAACAAGAAAACTAACATTGGTTTTAAATAGTCGTTCTTTATACTGACCACTCGAATCATTCGTTTGGCTTCTTGGCCACGTAAAGAGTAAGATAATCGCTACGACAAGACCAACTGACAATAATACAATTGCCGCCAGCATTCCCCATTCACAGCATGTTAGGAACCTAGATAAACGAAAAATACGATACCCGTTTAATATCTATCAGGGCAACGTACGAGCCCGAAGTTCCTGATGCTCGAACTCTTCTCTTAGAATCACGAGAGTCTGACATCGACCAATCACGTGATGAAACTTCACGAATATCATCCAAATTACTAAGAATGCTTTGAATTGGTGGTGTGGTTGGTGGTCGTGGTCGCTTTACTATAATCTACGCAATCAACAGCATAAATTTGTTTATCATTACTTTGGAAAGATCTATGGCTCGAACAAACCTTTATAGGTAAACGATGACGCGTATAGTAGCCGCTTGGAGTTATCTCACGGGTAGCCATAGTGTGTCGAAGATCTCAAATGAAAATGATGAATGAAATACACACTAGCAATTTGTTCTCATTATAAACAAAGATTTTTTTCGATTTCTACAGTAAATACTACTTTAAACTTATTGTTTGATGATTTTATGCCATGTATATCGAACTTACACAAGAGATTTATTTTAACAAAAAATATCCAAAGCAATCATAAAATACACTTTCAAATTCATAAAAATTGCAATATAAAAAAATAACTACTCAAAGAAGCCTACGAGCTCGAAGTGTTCTAACACGAACTAATGTGTGTACACATCATTAGCTCAAAAAATTTTTGGTCTTTTATTTACACAACTTTCAGTTGTTTTTTTCCCATTAAACTAATCGTCGTCAATGATTCTCGACGCAGCTACGAAAACAAAGAATAAGAATGTAATGATGTACGCATGACGAAAATCTATCCGCATTTCTTTAGGTCAATACTTGAATATCTAGTATAATAATTAGTATTGTTGGCATTTGATATTTGAAACTCTCGAGTACAAAGTACGTTTTATGTTAGTACATCCCTTCTTAAGAGGATGCTATCTCTAGTAAAATAGTGAGTCTAGATTTTTCAATTTGAATTGTTTTTTGAAACTCTTTCTGATGGCAGTACTGAAGAATGCAGGTGTGCCGAGGGTTTGGGTGGGGCTGGGGCTGGGGCTCGGGCTCGGGCTGGGGGTGTGGGCGTGGGGTGTGAGTGTGGGATGTAGGTGTGAGTGGGGGTGTGGGTGGGGGTGGGGGTGGGGGTGGAGCTGGGGCTGGGGCTCGGACTGTGGGTGTGGGTGTGAGGTGTGAGTGTGGGGTGTGGGTGTGAGTGGGGGTGTGGGTGGCGGTGGGGGTGGCGGTGGGGGTGGGGGTGTGGGCATGGGTGTGATGTGGGCGTGGGTGTAGGTGTAGGTGTTGATCAAGAAAAGACTAACACGTACACTCACACTCATACCCACACCCACCCACACCCACACCCACGCCCACACGCCCACACCCACGCCCACACACCCACACTCACACCCACCCACAC